TGGGAGAGATTTAATGTGAATCTGTCAACCCTATTTTATTTAATTTACAATATAAAAGACTGCTTGGGTTTAATTTTTTTACAATACATATTGAGAAATTGGACAGAACTGAAAACAGCGACAGTAGCTTTGACAAACACTGAAATGTACCTCCAATATGTCCAGACACTTCACTGAAAATTAGTAAAATGTCAATTAAAGTCCCAACTGGTAGAAAAAAAACTAAAAATCATGAGGGAGAATTTATTCTTTGAAAACAAAAAAATAAAGAAACCTGCACTCTAGAGCTTTGCATAGTGTTGTTTGGTGAGTTAACACATATTATATTGTATTAATTATATTTCTATTAAACTCTGAAGCACTTTGGAAATGTTTTTTTTTTTTTTTATAATGAGGTATGTAAATAAAGTGGACTGAATATATATTTATTAGATTTTCTCATGTCAGAGCTAAGCTAAAACAGGTGTTAACATGTGTTAACAATAAAGGCGGGAGATACATGTGGGGGGTGATGGTAGAGTGTTATTCCAGCTCCTTTTTATTCCTTTCTTGTCCATCAAGTAATTTATTCAAATCCCACCACAATTAACGATGAAATCTGTTATCAGCGTCGTCCATTAGAGGCCTCGTGTCTCTACCTTGCCGCCTCAGTTTGAAGTGCTGCTGCTCCCCCCCACCCCCAAGTGTAAAGACTCAGCATGGCTCCGGATAGAGATCACAAGCTCTGAATCGTAAACACACCTCTCAGCAGAACAAAAGCTTACAGCACCAGGCATTTCAAGGTGGTCTCCCATCCAAATACCATTGGACATAGAAACATATGTGTGCATTAAAAGAAATTTATGTTGTCTGAAGACGCATAAAGACATACAGATACATAAAGACTTTACCGTGTTAGATCAGTAGTGGTGTTAATGTGATGTTGTAGCTGATCTTTTGTTCCTCGAAACATCCTAACAGCAGAGCATATAGTGATATCTGCCTGGGATTTGAGCTGCATACTCAGACTATATCCTCCTGTTTTCTAAATCTCAGACTCACATTCCCTGTTTCCTGAGCAGTTACTCCTCTATTGATGATTCATCAGTTTTTTTCCATTTCATCTCTCTCCACCCCTTTTATCCACTTATATTTTATGGCAACAGCAAACTGCCCATCAGTGCAGAGAGCATCCCCTGTAGGTGAGTGCTTTTGTATTAGAGGTTGGATGCGGATATAACATCTCGGGTAAAAACCTTTTTGCTTCCTCTGTAACTTTCAGCACCTAATCCGGATTCAAGAAATTTTTTATTACACATTTTTTATTATTATTTTTTTTAATATTGAAGCACCCTCCATATTTTTGCTCTCCTTTGTAAATATCAGTCAAGTAATAACATATATATTTTATCGTAGCAGGAAAGTTTTACCCTGAAATTTTTGAAAAATACAACCTTAGGTATGAATATATTTTTCATATAAAAAAAAAATCCCACCATAAAAAAAATATATATATTTTTCCAAGAAATCAAACTCATCTTTGGCCATAACACTTTTTTGTAAAGAGAGCGTAAGTAAAACAAGATTTTATGAACTGATCCTCACAGTGACACGTAAAAGTCCTTAACACACTCTTGGTAGCCAAAGGCACAACTGCTGCTGGTTACTTTCAGTAAATCTTATTATATTTGATTTATTTCAAGTTAAACTACTTACATTATAAGAAAAGAAAATGTGAAAGTTTGTGGTAGAAACTGAAATGGGCTCATGTAAAGAACCAAACAGCAATGAATTGGTTATCTTTTTTAGCTCACATTGAGAAACAAAGTTTATCTTTTTTATCAAAAGAAATATTTCTTTAGCATAAATATCATGTTTTATGTAACAATCGACCATAACACCACAAAAATTAAAATACCTGAACTTAAGGACAGACATGGATAGAGAAACCAGGGGCAGCTTTTGCATCTCGTACATCCAGGGCAGATAGCAGGCTACTTGTGCTGCTATGAGGAGTTTCATTACCAAATATGTAATGAAAGTGTCATAAAGTTGCAACTTAATTTAAGTGATTAAAAAAATATCCAATATGGATCCAACGCCACTTACATGTAGGTCTCAACTATAGCTTTATATAATATGCAAATCTTTTATCTACTATTATCTGTCATAATTTATTCTGTATTATAACCCCACTAATTTATATATAATCAATATCATAACTTTCCTTTATAATCTATATACAGTTTTCATGTTTATTTCTTTTATAGCTTCTTACAGTTGCCCTTTATAGTCATTACATGCATAGTCTCTTTGCACATGTAAGTAAATATTTATATTCTGTATAGCACTTCTGGATAAATGCAAACTACAGCAAAATAATTTTCAGACTCTTTTTTCAGTTAGATATTGACGACACTTTCATGTAATCTTCATACTCATTCGAGAATGTTGCTCCACATATCTAAACGAAAATCAGTAATAAGTAAATAACCACATATTATAAATTTCAAATATCTATTCAAAATATAATATGACTTGACAATAAATAAATGAAGAAATAATTAGGTTAGGTTTAGAAAAAAAACAATGCAATATTTGCATCCCATTAGAGCTAAAAGACTTACACAAAACATTTTGTTGTGATTTAAAATGATTATCTGTTTCAGCAGCTGATCCAGGGATTCAGAACCAGCATTATAAAAGGCTCAGTACTCTTTGCCTTTTAACCTAAATAATATTCCATGATAAATGTCCTTTTAATAGTTTAGCTAATGTATTACCAATTACATGCAGAATGTGAAAGTACTGAAAGATCAACATAAATATAGCGGTAGGATCCAAATTTTTTTGTTGTTAATAAAAAAAGTTATTTCTTATATCTGTTTTGACACTATGTTTTTTGGTCATTTAGTTATGTTTCTTTGTTTCTGGTTAGTTATGGTCCATTGGGGTCGATTAATTTTAAAAAAATAGTGTCAATGGTAGGACCAGCATTCATCTTGGGGGGGTGTATGTTTTTTTTTTTTTTTAACCAGCGCAAGAGAAGCATGGAGAAAATGTTTGTCCTTTTCCTTGTCTAAGGAGAAATAAACCAAAACAATAAAGGAGTTTACCTGGAAAATAGTTTTCTTTTTGCCTAAGTAAATTACTTGACCATGGTGCTTCTGTGGCCCTTGTGGATTTTTTTTGTGTGGTCAAAGCTGGGCGGCCACGACAATAGATTAACATAGATGTAAGTAAGATGTGATGAAGCTAAGTTGCTCCCCCAAAGTTGTTAAATTTAGGCATAAAATTCATAAAAAAAAGTAAATCCTGATAGATTAGTTAATGTATTTTTTATAACACTTAAAAGAAGAAATCAGAGCCAAGGCTCTGAGTGCATGGAACGAGTGGTGGCCTAGTGGATAGGGCACTGCGCTTAGATCCCAGAGGTTCTGAATTCAAGCCCCACTTATACAGGCTGCTACTCTGGGTCCCTGAGCAATGACCGTTTACCCCACACTGCTCCCTGGGCATCGCGCAATGGCAGCCCACTGCTCCCCAAGGGGATGGGCTAAATGAAGAGATTTCATTTTGTTGCTCTGTACTTGTGACAGTGTAATGACAATAAAAAAGCCGAAGAAAAAAAAAGATTTCTACTGTAACTGCAGTTTTTAGGATGAACCATCTATTTATAGCTCTGTGATAATGTTTATTTTCAGCTTTAGGAACTCATCTCAGAAAGTAGCAGTTTGGTAGAGAGACTCAAAGTGTTTCTCGAGTGGATATTTTATAGTTTTCCAAGCCTGGCTTGGTACCATACAAGGGAACTGCAGGGGACATAGATCACTGTTAACAGTGGAGATCACCCCAGGTCACTAACAAGGATTTTGAAAGCCCTTTGTTTTTATAAAAGCAACACCGATACCTTGATACTATTGGTGTTATATAATTTTCACACTGTGTAAACATATTTCAAGGCCTTATACTTACTTAGCAACATGGAATATACAGTGGACAGGACACAGAAATAATAAATGCTAGAGGTCACGTTCGAATCTTTGCAGAAACAAGATCTTAACCTGTGACCTGTACGTAGGTTTTTGAGCCAAAAGATTTTGGGAAAAAAAAAAGAAACATCTCTGTCCTGTTTAAGGATGAGAGGCAACTTTGGCCAAAACACACACACTAAGATTTCAACATAGCATTTGGTCACACGCATACACACTTAGGTAAATCAGAGCCAAACAGGCACATATATTTCACAAACACTCACACACATCATGGTTCAGGAAAGTATAAATAGGGCTCAAATAGAGGGCCATATTCAGGGGAAAACTGACATGTCTGATGGTGTAGCGCTGAACTTATGAAGTGTTTATGACAGCTGTAGGAATTTGAATTGTAAACAAATGTTTCCCCCCTCTGGAGGACAAAATGGTGTGAATAATTTTCAAGTGTTCTTCTTTCTGTCATAAGAGAATTCTAACAATGAGCTTCCACAATACATGCTTTCACATCTCCAAGACAATTCAGAAACAATAGTTTATATGCTAAAGATAGGACAAATCCTGATTACTATGCTGCATTCCGTAGTGGGTGGGTGTGTGAGCAGTAAAGCTCATTCATCTCTGTCTCGGTTCGGATGTGTAGAGTGGATCTCCACTGGGATTCTTTGGTCCAGCTCTGCTGAGAAGGCACTCATGCAGTCCAATTTCTACTCATTTATGCCACTCTCTGTCCTTCCTTCATCCTCTGTGTATTTCCTGCCTTTTGGTCATTCTGCATTTTCTGCTTCCTTTCCTACTCACCTTGGTTTATCCCTCCCTCCTCTGAGACACACATTCTTACATAACATTTTTTTTAAGCCTGGACTTTCCGGTATATTACTATTTTTATGTAGGTTTTGTTAGCTGAAAATAGAGTTGTCTCTTCCTGCGGCTCATAATTAGGCAGGCTGAGTGCTACTGTAAAACACAAGCATGCCTGGGCTACAGAGATATATATTTATTGTTTTTCTTTTCTTCCTTGTTTTGCAGTGACCTCCTGTCTTCTGGGTACGAGGAGAGGCATTTATCAGAAAATGGGAAGATCGTCGTCACCAGCGTAAGATAATACAAATCATTTACATTACATTATTGAGCTTCTGAGGGGGTGAGCCGCCGCAGTTACAACTCAGATTTTATCATGAAACCGAGATGTCATAGTTTAATTAGGAATGAAAAAAAAAGCTTCAATGGGAAGTGATTTAAATTTGAAAAGATCACCTTCCTATATAGTTTGAGCTACTGATGACACAACAAACTGTTTCAGTGACATTTAAAAGTCATATGTTGGCACCAGTATAGATGTAACATGGATACAGACTTAGAGATGTACATTCAGCCTCATTAATATATAAATGAATGTGTAATAGTAAGGTGCAAAGAAAATAAATGTTTTTTGTAGCCCTCAATAAGGATTTTGGATTATCACTATTCATATCAGAATTGGTCTGAATTTTAATTGGATGGTTTCTTTTGTAAATAGAGATGAGTTAAGTCTAATGCTGGTTAACTTGAACTACTTAAGACCAGTTCTGATATGGATTACCGTCATGGTGTGTTTTAGTTTCAACTCTTTTGAGACAATAGTTCACATCAGATAAAGGAAAATAGTTTGGATCTGGAAATAAGTTGCAGAATCACCAGTCTCCACATTGAACTAAGCTTAAAATTAGGCCCGGATCTCATGGAACTCGAGTTCTGCATTTATGTATTATATATGCAATTAATTGCATTGCAGTATAATTACAGAGGCACTGTTTTTAATCACACTATGTTTAACAAGAGCAGGACACTAAATTTCTCCCTCCAGCCCTTTGGGTGGTGGTTAAACACTTGAAGTGGGTTTGTCGCCACACTGAGAGGTAAAGAGATTTTCTTCTAGCTCACAGATCCATGCATACAAGTAAAAGTAAACACTTTTTCACACAATGGTTACAGTAAGTTCATTTAAAAATGGACTCTGGGAAAGCAAGCCCTTAAAAACCAAACGCCTTGGCTGAAACCTCTATTAACTTGGGGTTAGAGCAAAGGAAAATTGAAATAAAAACGCAAAATGCAATTTTGGTGAAAAATAATCGCAATTTAGATTTTGTTTGGATTAGACCCTGTTTGGATTATACAACAGTCACATTAAATTAAAACTTGTGCTGAAGTTGTTTCCTGTATAATCAATACACCATAGTCTTAACATCTGAACATTTTAAAAGTGTTTGCACTTCCAGAAAGTGCACACATTAAGTCAATAAACCACATTTAAGCAGAAGAGCGAAATCGTCTCTGGTTGACACTCAAACAGCTGTGAGAATTTGTAGTTTTATGGATGATCTGTGGGCTTCTCGATATCTAGTGGCCTGAACTTTAAACTACGTTAAAACCAGATTAAGAATGCTGAGATAATCCTCTGAAATCTGCACAGCTCAGTCACAGGAAACCCACTCAGACGTTGTGTGACACCACACACCGTTAGTGGGCGAGGATTTATAATGATCAGGATTTTCACGGCTAAGCAGCAGATTAGTAGTAAAATCAGATGTTTTAGAGAGAGCGATCCAAATTAACGCAGCACATCTTGTAACAATATGGTCACAAGTAATTATGAGTCATTACAAAGCAGTGAATTAATTTCCATTGTTGATGAATGTCCAGATGATCAATCCATCTATGGTTGTCTACTGTCAGTGTTTTCTTTGTAGTTTAACAAAAAGCAGCAGCCCTTTTTTCTGTTTAAATGGATGCTTTAATAGAGGTTAATTCTAGACAATCTTTGTGTTTGTGTGCAGTGTAAAGGTCAAGTTGTCCAACAGCTGCTGCTTTGATAGATTTAGGCCAGATTTAGATCAGTTCTGCTTGAACAGTACATCCAATAATAGACACAGTACCGTCCTTTTAAATGTGCTATCAGGAGCTGCCTGTCCACAGGTTGGGTTTAATTGCAGCAGATGCAGGATGGGTGATTTATCATTGCACAAAAAAGTTTTTAGTAAATTTTACTTAGTCTCATCAAATTTTTTTTTTCACTCAGGAAAGATCAAAATGGAAGAAACGTTGCTTTACTTTGTACATTAGTTTGTAGATTATTAATAAATGTATTTTTTATTGGTTAAATATTATAGAATGGATGTATTTTTTTAAAGGACTCATAACCTGGTAATTAACAGTCTTTCTAAAGTAGCTTTTTAATTCATGGTTAATCAATTTTAGGGGAACAAAATCCTTCGGACCCCTTTTAATGCGCCTTTTTTGTCACGAGAGTATGCACAACAATTTGACCTCTGTGTATGCACGTTCGTTAGCATTAAAATGAACAGTTTGCCAGTTTTTTTTTACTGTTTCCAGGTCTCTTACACAATTGGTTAAAAGTCACACCATCAGCAACACTTACTGCTTGCAGGAGAATCCATTATTGTTGGAATTTCCCCTGTGAGTGGAGCAGAGAAGGGGGCAGTGAAAGCAAGACACCCTTCCACCAATGACTTACATCAATGTGGAGGACCTTTTTGGGCTTTTCTGGTTTGAACAAAATTCCTGCACGGAATAAAAACAACAAGCCACTCTCGCACTCTGGATTTTCTGGCAGGTTTCAACTGGAGCCCAATGCACATGTTTGTGTGTCACATAAAAAGGCTATTATTTTAAAACAGTAAATATTTTAAGAACGTATTTTTGGAAATACATTGATGCAGACATGATCATCAAAGAAATGTATTTTTATTGCATCACAGGTGAAGTAATTTAATGATAAGTAACCAAGTATTATTTCCCCATTGTGGGACAACAAAGACATTTTCTATTCTATTCTATTATTAAAATGATAATACATTTGCTGTCTGTTTCCTTGCTTTGTCTCTGGCCGTCTCCCAGTTAAGGGGCTAATGAATAAAGGGCACTAATGCCTTAAAATATTGGAAAAAATAAATGATCTAGTTAGGTACCTATTTTCCATGATAAAAATGGACAAATCCCCTGGTGAAATGTCTACCGATGCCTGATGGTCTCTATTTTTTTAATGCAGGCCTATAAGATGTTTTCTGTATTCAGCATGAATAAAGTTTGTATGTGAAACTATTGAGCTGCAACTGGTTGAATAGTGGTTAGAATAATGGCAGGTTAATTGTGAAAATTGCTCATATCCCAAAAACTAAAAACAATGAAAAACCCCCACCAAATCCAAACATGTCCAATCTTGCCTTTATTACCTATGTTCAATGCCAAACTTGTTAACCCTTTGTCCCACTTTACTTTACTTGACTAATTACTTGCTCCTATATTTTGCAAGTTTAGCAACATACACATACAAAAGATGATCACAGAGAACATACATACAACTCTGGGGTTTTGGTTTCTCTTACTTTAAAAAGAAGTGGAGCAGAAGGTTCAGTTTGACAGGAAGAGGAGAGACCCTGGGACAGTGGAGCACAGCATCATTTATAAATAGCCTGTTCTGTTTTTTTTTTTTTAGATTTCAAACACACTTTCTGTGCTTCAGCCAACCTGCTTCTTCTTCATCTGCAGCCCCAGGTTCATCTTAATGACTTACACTCTCCAGATTTCAACTTGCCTTAATTTCAGTTTTCTCTCTGCATATATGTTGCTCCTTCTTGCTTATAGTATTGCTTTAATTTTGTGCAAGCTTCAGTGATGTTTTATAGTGAAAAGCAACTGCATGCTTGCTTTTTGTTTGTAAGTGTAATTGGGAAAAAGTGAAAGCGGACAAGAAAGACAATTAGCCTCAACATCACTGAAATAGCTTAACCCCTGCGGTTTGTTGAGCAGAATATGAAAAACGACCTCCTTACTTTCTAATTAATTCATGCTTCATTATCCTCATGAGGACTGCTTTATTAACACATTTGTTCTCAAGGCCTGTTTATAAAGCTTGTATGTTTTATGATTTTCTAACATGATTTTAACACTTTGAAATCCATCCATCCATTTTCCGTCACACTGGGGTCACGAGGGGTGCAGGTTTCTCTCTCCAGCTGTCAGTGGGCGAGAGGCAGGGTACACCCTGGACAGGTCATCAATTTATCGCAGGGCAACAAACAGGATAAACAACCATTCACACACACTCACACCTAAGGAGAATTTTGAGAAGCTTATTAACCTAACAGTAATGTTTTTGGACTGTGGGAGGAAGCCGGAGTACCCGGAGAGGACCCATGCATGCTCAGGGAGAACATGCAAACTCCATGCAGAAAGATCCTGGGTGGGGAATTGAACCCAGAACCTTCTTCCTGCAAAGCAACAGTGCCCTTTTAAATCCTGAATGCATACATAGGCAACACCTTCTTTTGATGTGCTGTCATCTATTAGCAATGGGCAATGATCTTACTCCAGGTTCATTTCTTCAAGAAAAGTTGAGATGCTATAAGAGCTAAAATAATTATAAAAAAATGCTCATACTTTGATATATCAAATCTTACTGCTCATTGGTGTAACTGTACATGTTTTTAGATGGGACTGTTTTCTTCCTCTCTTCAAACCCCTTAACTCCAGCAAAGCACATTTTTGCACAAACACAAAATGATATTTGCATAATTAAAATACAGAAAGAGATTAGGCCAACAAAGGCTAACAACTACCCTAATGACTCCCCTTTACAGAGGCATCTGTTTTGCAGGCCAACATGGACCCTAACGACTCCCCATTATTAAGGGGTAGCCTTGTTTTCGGTTTAATTTGCATGTTTTCTAAGCCATAACAAAATTTTTGTTTGGCTACTTTATAAGCCTGGAACTCCACGCTACTCAATACATTTTGAATTGAGAAAGCTTCCTGGATGGGAAGCGAAAAGTCTTCAAACTTGGGGGAAAGTGTTTTTTTTATTATTATTATTTTTTTTTTTTTTACTTTTTTGGAATAACTATGACCTAAATGACTGAGAATCTTCACCAGCAAAAAGAGATTAGGACTGACAGCAATTAATAAGTATGCGTAAAAGGTATTAATGATAACACATTAGAAAACTAGACAGTGTCCCTTACATGACGATTCTCCCTGTGTAGAAATAGAACAGCATTTCGGCATCTGAAGCTGGAAACCTGTTGTCTGCACACACCTCTGGCCTACAATCTACGTAGCACATCTGGAAAGTGCTAAAATGCTGATTAGGGGAAGTTGTAGAGTACTTATAATCCCCAAGTTTCCACTTGCACTTTTTGTTTACCAGTGTTTACATGCATATTCCTTCAACAAAACCACGAAAAACATGTTTAAGGAGCAGAAGGAGTGGTCTGGATAAAGAAGAACATCTGCTGGTTTTCACAGCATTAAAGTTTAGAGCAGTAATTGATCCTCTGATAAAAGCTTCCTGTCTAATGACTGGTAGGCAGCAAGAAATGGAGAAGGCCAGAAGAGCACTTTAGGCTCTTAGACATCATACTGCTCTGCAGACAATAAGTGTATGTTTATGCTCAAGAACACACACACACCAGTCACACAAAGACAGACAGATGGAAAATTTGCTGATCGAGATGGAAAAGACATTACGGGCGACCAGTCTAGAAGGCTCATACTTTGGAGAAGCTGGAACAGATAACAGGAATCATAAGTGTTCAGGCTGAAGTACATCACAGACATAAATCATCACTACATCATACTTACAATTACCTGTATTGGAAATCTGTGTGATGGATCACTCTGGACGTATTTCCAGGTTGAACATGATAACAGTTGTAGTGTTTTACTTTGTTTGGAAGATTTTAATAGGATCCATGACTTTGAACTTAACATGACGATGCTTTGCACGCAGGGAGGAGAACACTGCTACTACCAGGGGAAGATAAGAGACGTACCCCGCTCCTTCGTGGCTCTTTCAACCTGTCACGGATTGCAGTGAGTACAAAAAATCGTACATGTAACTTTTTCCCTGCCAATGTTTTCTACCTCTGAGTCTTCAGGTTCAGATATTCCTGCCTTATCAGCTCACTGTAATTAGGTTTCGCCACCCCTCCCTGTCCGTCTGCATTTTGTGTTACAAGGGTTATCATTCGCATAGTTTGCTACTAATTCTTCCTCTCTTTTCCCTTCACTGCTCTCCCTCTGCTCTTTTTTCTTCCATCTAACGTTGATATTTTTTTAGCATTTTCGCTTGAAAGTGGTGCCCTTTTTAAGAGATGACTCAAAATTGAGGCCTTTTTTTAAAGGATAACATCTTAGACTTGAAGTTAGTTTGTTTTTATGTCCCTTGTACATGTATGCAGCAGACACAGTGCCTGACAAGAACCAAAACAAAGTAGCACATCACTCTGAGATCATCTGTGGTAATCCCCCTTTACTGATGCCCCGAAATAAAATACAAATCCAGCAAATGCAGTCAAAAATCCTCTCTTTAGACAATACAGTCAACCTGTGAGTAATGAAACCACAGTATATATCCAGCTGTTCTGTGAAAACCTCAGAAGAATATAAGTGAACAGACAGCATCATGAAGACCAAGGAAGACAGAAGACAGGTCATTGATGGGGATGTGGAGATGTTTAAGGCAACATTATATTATGAAATAATACACCAACCTCTGAACCGCTCACAGAGCACTGTTCAGTTCATCAAATGTAAAGTGTGCGGCACAAATGGAAGACAAAAAAAACCTAAAATTTATGAAATCAACAGATCTGGTCACAATGGAAGAGTGTCTACTGCAGAGAGAGAAGGAAGTCCAGATGAAGACCAAGAATCAGATGGTTTGGCTCAGGGATCTGGAACCTTTAAAATAAAAAGAGCCAATTTGCGCAGAGTTCGACTAAGTTAATATTGCTTAGAGCCACATATTTGATATAACCATTTAATTAAACACAACTTATAATTTGTGTTTAATATCTGATAGAGGAAATGTGTTGCATTTTTGACAAACCGATTTGAATTTGTATCAAGTGTTTCGTTAAGATGAACATGGATCTTCTTGGATAGGATACTGTTCAATGAAAAAGAAACATAATTTTTCAGTCAATAATGAGGAAAATCGATCTTAAAACATATTTCGGGTTATTTTAATGTCAGTCTTTTTACAAAATTTAATCGAATAAAGGTTTAAAATACCAGCTAAAGCTTCTAAGAACTGCATTACTACATTAGTTGTTTCCTCATATAATTTGAACCATGATTAAGAGCCAAGTTCAACAGAGCGAACAGAGAGAACGAAGCTGCAGGTTGCAGACCCTTTGTTTAGATCTAAGAATGTGTAAGAATGGTCCAGTAAAAGTCAAGACCTACATCTAACAGAAAATCTGACTTGGAAATCAATAATCACAGACACTTCAATCTGGCTGACCTAAAGATTAAAAAATGTTAAAAGTTAAATGTTTTAAAAATTAAAAGTTTTGATTTTTATTTGTAGCAGAAACCCCTCCTTTGCCAACTTTGTGTTGATGTGTCAAATAAAATCCCCATAAAATTTGTTAAGGTTGGATGTATTAGGAAAACATTTTGAAACATTTTATGAATGAATTGCTGTTTTTTTTTTTTTGCATTCATATTAGTTATTTATTGATCTATTTTACTTGTAATTAAAAAGGTTAAAAATATCACAAATAGATTGTGTTTTAATTAAGTCTAGAGAAACAGTGAACATGAAACATTTAACACTCATTTTAACAGTTCACACTAATTATCACCCTCAGTCGTCTCCTAAAGCATTATGATTCCCACTTCTGATCTGTCAAAACTTGTTGCTACTCATTTTGTCCCACTTCATCATAAAATCAGGCTGCATAAACTAAAAAAGTCAGAGCGAATATATAATTTCTGCTAATTATTGTGAATGGCTGAGGTCTGTTTCCTACCTGCTGATTAAGCAGTGCAGAGCTCAGGCCTGGAGTCATGTTTGCATATTTTATGGGACATGCGGCACAGCAAATTATATAATGGTGCATGCACTGTAATGAAAACAGGAGGTATAAATTAATCAAACCGAAATGAGATGAAAGCATGCCACAAACTCATTTAAGACATGTGAGGTTGTTGCATGACAGAAAATCTTTTTCTCTTCCTGTGAAAATGAAAACAAATATGTTTTATTGAACTGAGTGAGAGCAAGAACTGCGCAGTGCTGCGATGGGGTTAGACATTAGAGGGATTCTCTGTTTCCTCCATGCTGAGTCAGGTCTCTCTCTTAAAATACGTTCTGCTCTTTCCTCTAAATGTTTATCTCGTTCTTTCTCTACCTTTCACAAAAACAAAAACTTAATTCTACATTTCAAAAAGCTGCATACATAGTAGTGCTCAGCCTGCTTGTAGAGACAATGTCAGTCTAGACGTTCATTCAGGACAAAGGTAACTAAAAGGCAGTCCAGAGTTAAAAACAAAAATCAGTCTTTAATATTACCTCACATTTGTTTAGTTTTACTTTACAAGCTTAATCTTAATTTTTTTTTTCAACATGCAGATATTTTACATTTTATCCTATCTGCTTTGTGAACCTTTTAAAAAACTTAAAGCCTCATGTCAGACTTTTCTAAAGATACTTTATTTAATCTAAAGAACAACATATCATGGATAGTTGTTCCACTTGTTTATTTGGAACTTCTTATTTTAATAAAAGACAAAACAAAATTAGGATTAATATTGTCTGTGTTTCCTGTGTGACTGCATAAGCATAGGCGCTACACCCACATATATCACCTATAGAAAATAGGCTCATGATAAATCGTCTAATTATAGTAATCGTAAAAAACAACATATCATAAATACAAATCTGCAAAGCTTGGTAAAGCCGAAATATTTGTCCAAGAAAAAGATGGATCTCTTTTCAGTATTTCCTTTACTCCCTCCCCCCTTTTGTTTGTAAAATACATCAAGAGTCGGGTGAAGGAAAGAGAAACCAGAGGGATGAGTTGATGAAAGGAAAATGGTTTAGCTTGCAAAAAAAAAAAAAAAAAAAACAACAACTAGCAACTAAGTTGTTAAAGTCTTAACCCCATTAATTTATTATAATTCAGTTTATGCATTTTCTTCCATACTTTTTCACTTGTGCACTAGCTTTCTTACTATGTCAGGTAGACAGATCCATTCCGTCTCATTCCCTATCCGGTTTTCTGACTGACCAGCTGGGTGCATCTCGGCTAAGAGGGAGAGTAACAGAACCTTTGGCATTTTTAATTGTTGTACACAAAAGAACATAGCAAAGTATTAATAAACATGTGTTATTTACTACTGATGCAACACTTTAACCACTTTAAACAAAAGAAAAACATAAATGATAAATGCATATGCAACAAAGAAATTAGAAATGATCCTGTGCTCAGCCTGTTAATTTTTCTGAATGAACTTAGCTACTTCAAACACATTAGAGCCAAACTGACATCTATTATTTATAACATTGGAAAAATAGGTTCCCAAAACAATATTCTTGTGCTTGGCAACCTATTTTTATGAGAAATTTGAGCAAAATAGGTGCTTTGTGTTTGTAATTTAGTAATCTTTAAAATGTAGTAAAGAAATAATTTTCTTAAAGTCATCAAAATCGTCTTAAAATTTGGTGTCATGAAACGAACTATTTATTTGATTTCATGGTTCCCACAAAAATCCAAATACTGTAAAATGGTTTATTTATTGTTGTCCGTGTATAATTTAATATAAGTGAATTGTTGGACCAGGACTGTGGTTGCACTGGAGGTGACGTCTCTCAGCTGGAGGCCAGAAAATATGAATCAGACTGAGAGAAATGAGGTAGATTGTGTGTCTCCTCAGTGTTCTGACCCTGGTAACTTTACCTTTTGACCCGACCAATCTGCTAAAAGCTCCAGATAAAACTAATTAAAGGCTGATGTCTTTTGGGAAGCACATTTACTTATAAGGATGGGACTGAGTGAGGACATTTCACCCCTTAACCTAAACTCAAATGGATAAATCACTTTTCTTGAGGGTTTTCTGTGTGTAATAATGACTCTTGTGCAGGGGCGGAGTTAGGGAATTTGGGGCCCTAGGCAAAGAAAGGCAGGGGGCCCTCTAAGTTGAGAAGACAACACATAAAAAAAAACATTATACAGATACAGAAATTTTAATTGAATAGACATACATTATTTGTTCTAGGTTTGGTCCCTCTCTTCTTGTCCCTTTTCTTGTTGTTTTCCCTCTCAATGTTTTGTGCTCAGCTGACTTTTCATGCTGTCTCAAAAGGAATTAAAGATTTTTTTCCAAGCACTAATCTCACTTAGCTGATTGCTCCTTCCTGTGTTTCTAAAAAAAAAAGCAACGGCAAAAGTATATAACACAGTCCTTTTCACTGTAGACAAGCCATGATCTGCTTCTCTGTTCTCCATTTTTTATTTGTATAAAATAACAGCTGCATGAATCATTACAGCAGACAAGATAGAGGAGAGGAGGAGGGGGGGTTACAAATCTACTTGCTCTGGAGAGCAGAGTTCAGTGCTTTTATATGTTGTTGCCAAACTCTCCAGTAACAGAAAAAAGTCGCTAGATTTGGGGCTAGGCGCTTTTTTAAAATAAAAGTGCTAGAGGGGTCTGAAAAGTCGCTTAATATAGCGACAAAAGTGCTAAGTTGGCAACACTTCTCTTTGTACCGTTTGTTTTCAAATGATTTTCTGCTGTCTGTTTGGACCTTTTTGAACATGTGCAGCAAATGGACTGATCCAATGTGGTGGACACTGAAGGGGGGCTGAAACACACTTAATATTATAAACATTCTGATTGCATTTTAGCAAAAGGATTTTTATCAAAAACATAAATATTGTGCACAAATAAGAAAAAGTTGTTGTAACCATACATGTAAAAAAAAATTTATAGGGCCCCCAGGAGCCCTAGACAACTGCCTAGTATTGCCTAATGGTCAATCCCGCTCTTGTACATGTCTGTGTGTTGTGGGTTTGTTCAGCAAGAAGGAAAATGTTTTTCTTGTTAGATTTTGACCATTTTTACAGTTTTACTCTCCTGTTGTTGGATTGGAAAAAATACACAACTTATTTTGTTTATTTTTTTTCTTAAATTTCTTTACATCAGGGAATAAATCTTTCTTTTTTCAGATATTTCAGTATGATTTATACTTTTAGAGAGATTAAGCTTTTATTTCATTTTATTTTAGGTTTTCATGTGTGTTTGGATTATTGTTCCCTTAAATGGAAAATCATAATTTGGAAACTGTCTTTACTGAAGTTATTTTTGCCCTTTGTTAGAATTAGTTTGATGATGTGAAAAAGAGACAAAAATACAATAACAAATTTGTAGGATGGCAATTACCTTTTACTGCGCTGGTTGTTTTTTTTTTTAGATATTTATCTGGTTTACAAAGAAATAAATTATCAAGACTAGACGATATCTGTCAAATATAGGGTGGTCTTAATGAGGGGGATCCTATAAGTTTAAATCTTCAAAGTTACCGAGTAGTACATACAACCTTGTGTGTTCAAATGGCTCATCTGATAGATGTGGCATTAGTATTGAAATGAACTGTATTTCAGCCGTATCCTCACCCACCTGTTCCTCTTTTTCAGTGGGATGTTTTTTGATGGCAATCACACCTACATGATTGAACCTGGAGGACAGGCCAACAATAGCGTAAGTGCTCTTTAAACCCACATTTGTACTGCGAAGGTGCTGGAGATTTTTAACTTGCCCTCCTTATATTTTTTCAAGTCACTTGGACTTAATGTGTTGCATGAAAAGGTTTAGAATAGCTTTACAGTGACACTGTTACAAGTTCACACACTGTATTTTAAATCCCTGCTTTTCTATGAATCCTTGCAAAGTTTTTTCCACATAAAATGTTATATTTTTCCTGTTCGATTGGACTGTAAAACAAACACATTTGTTCAGGAAAGAGAAATTGTAGCATAAAGGTGCAAAGGCTTACTAACTTACTTACAAATGAATTCTTTATTGAGGCATTATTAATTCATTTCAGCTTTCAGTCTTCTGAACATATTGACCTTTAAATATTGATTAATTTCGCAAAAGTTGTCCAAATCTATCAGACTACGAGAAAATCTCTTATCCACAGCCTTTATTCAAGTGACCTACCGATGCTGTTTAATTTATTGCTAGACTTTTGTTAGGCCAAATTGAAATTTCTCCCTTTTAAAGCCATTCTTCTGTTTACGTTGACCTCTTTTTGGACTCACTGCACTGAGAGGGTACTTCAGGAGAAAATCCCAACCATTGCCATCCTTCACTGTCCTTAACAGTATGCCGTAAAAATTCAAAAAATATCCACTGGACTTGGTTTTCAAGATTTGAAGACGTTTCGCCACCTCTCCAGGAAGCTTTCTCAATCCTTAACAGTAACAGTTTTTACTGGGGATCCCACCCAGTTCCTAGGAACCACACTTTTTCATCACCTTAGATGGTTGTCAACCATGGACACTCTTAAGAAGAAGGCCTTGCAGAGATTTCCCACAGTAACTCAAGAAACTACAACCATCAATATGACCTGCCAGTCATCCTCTACATCAGGCATTCCAAAAGTCGGTCCTTGAGGGCTGCTGTCCTGCAGGTTTTAGAGGTTTCTCTGCTTCAGCACAGTTGATTCTGATGGTTGCATTTCAGCAAAAGCCTGTTAATCAACTATCAATGTAAATCAGCTGTGCTGGAGCAGGGAAACGTCTAACACCTGCAGGACAGCGGCCCTCGAGGACCGACTTCTGGGATGCCTGCTCTACATCAAAGTTTGGTTTGGCTCACACACAAAACAGGACAGATCCAAGCTGCAATGGTTAACCAGCTATGCAAAAGAGGCTCATGAGGGGCTGATGTCTCTCCATCCAGGATTTGTTTAGGTTGAGGGTCAGGAAAAAGACAGCTGACATCTTTGCAGTCCACAGACATCCTGGGAACAAACTCTTTACTTCTTCTTCTCAGGTTTGCCCTATAGAAAACAGCTTATATCTGATGAAATAAGGAACAAAGCCTGAGTAGTTAGCTCTCCTGCTGTTAAATAAAGTCACTACCTCACCCTGCTTTTTTCTCACCTTCAAAGAAATGGGCTGTTTGTAGATTTATTGAATGATCCTTTTATATTTTTTTAGATTTAAAATTTATTTACACTTATTATCTGTGCACGTTGAGCTTATGAATCCAAAGTAAAACTCCAATCATTGGCCGGGATTTTTATTGATCTGATTTTTTTTTCTCACTGCTGTTACTCTTAACACAAGCGCCTCGTTGGTCTTACTTGGTTGCACATTTCTGCTAACTGCCTTGTTATCATTTAGTAACAGCAATAAATGCAAAGCATGTTAGCCATGATAGGCACCACTCACAGCGTCTGCAGCACAAATAAAGGAAAATGCAGCACATTTAAACAAAACCTCAGTAGGACCAAAGCACAGAGTCAGCATGAGTCCAGCTGACCATATGGTAAATCCTTCTGTCCTTCTACCACCAAGGCAGAAAAAGTTACACACAATGCCATTATAAAGTGTCCCGGAAAAGCCTTCAACTTAACTCAGCTCAACTGGCTTTGTGTTTACAAGCTCTCTGCACCATTTAGTGATATAAAAACGTGTGGTCCACAAGTTGAGAGCAGCTTATTCCCATGCAGGGAGAAACATTTTTTGGTTATATTACTATCTATTGGACTGCAGGTTTGACATTAACTCCCACATCCAGAAAGCTCCACATTTTCTCTCCATCAGACTCTCATTTATATTTTTCACCCCTCCTGCCCTACATCTACAACACTGGTAAAAACCAGTGATGTAAACCTCGTTTGTAATGAGGAATGAGATTAAGCAGTGTTTGTTGGGGCATATGTTGCAGTTTCTAAAAATACAATAAATATATAAGAAGCATGAGTTTTTATATCATTCTGGTTTATGGTTTTCAGGATTTTTTTATAGTTAAAGTAACAACAAAAATAATTTCCATTGTTAAAGATTAGAATTGTGCTGCAACAAATACAACACAGATAGAATCCTTATGTTTTTGTTAGTTCTAAATAAAGTTTTAACATCTTGTATTATTTTAATCAATTAAAGAACACCTGAAAAGATGTAGTTATAGTTTTTGGACCAAAAGAAGAGAGGTTTGAAGTTAGCACGCACATTCACTTAATAAAACTAAAAACCACTAATAAGATCCCAACTCTGGGTGCGGTGACAGATGCAGACCTGAGGCACATAAAGACAGTTCCAAAGTCGGCCTTCTCTCACCTAAAGATCTCAAGGATTAAAGGGCTAATATCTCAGCAGCACCTTGAAAACTGATTATTGTGTTTATCTGAAGTTTGATTGATTACTGCAGCAATGTCGACAGCTGCAGTTGATCCAGGATGCTGCTGCCTGTATCCTCACTAAAAATAAGAGTTGAGCATATTACCCCAGACCTAAGGTCGTTGCACTAACTCCTCATACTTCTGTTCGTGTATATGTTAGTATAGTAGAACTGACAGTTTAGCATCAAAATATATGTTTCAGACTTTTTTTGAGTTTATCAACCATCCAGACCTTTCAGGTCGTCTTGCTCAAATCTACAGTACTCTGCCTACCCAGAACCAGAACCAAACACAGAGAAGCCACTTATACTTCTTATGGTCCACTAATCTGGAATAAGTCCCAGAAAACTATGAAAGTTCTAAAACATAAAGTTGTTTTAAATTTAGAATAAGAACTAAATTTTTAGAGTGGCCTTTGACTGTGCTATATAAACATTATTATTTTAAGTTAGTGGTCCATCTTTTTATTTTATTATTTTAAATCTTCAATTTCAAATCAGTTTATTTATATAATGCTACTTAATCAACACGTCATCTCAAGGCACTTGACAGAGACAATACTGTCAAGTTGGTTAGGAAAACCAGCTGATTGCATTCAGTCATTGACTTGCAGGACATGCTCCTCCTGGATGAGCCTGTGGCGATGACCTTTGCATGCATTTTGTCATTGACTCTTCAGCAATTTCTCACACCGAGCATGGATGCATGCAGTGACAGTGGAGAGGAAAACTCCCTTTTAACAGGAAGAAACCTCCAGCAGAACCAGGCTCAATGTGAGCGGCCATCTGCTGCGGCCGACTGGGGTTCAAGGAGACAGAAGCAGACATACAGAGAGATGCAGAGGTACAATGGGTAGCTGTAAACCAGCGCCAGATGTGGCCCCGTCCAGGAAAGACACAGCCAGGCAGACGAGCTCCAAGCCAATTCTGCTGTTCACTGTAAAACAAAAAAAACATGACTATACTGGAAACAGGCCAAGCTTCAATATCTATTAACAGATATGCCAATTGCAGCAGCACAGCTGATATTTCAGTCCAGGATGGAGTCACAGCCAAACAAGAACAGACCAAATGAAGCTACTATGGTGAGGAAAAAGGAGAGAGAACATTAAGTTATAAGTGAAACTTGACAAATATTTCTGATTGGGAGAATAGAGATAGAATGAGGCGGAATGAGGAAAAGTGGTCCCTATGTGATCCAGCAGTCCAAACATATAGCAGCACAAATACAGAAAATAGCTCAGCATATCCTAACAATTTTGTTCGAGGTATAAGAAAGGTAGAGCTACAATAGGGCCAAGGTAAAGCCAAGAAGTACCTCTTAAAATATACTTGTGCCTGTATGTTTTCCAATTACTTACAATACTTTGAATCGTCATGATGAAAGACACTGCTATTTATATAGCACTGAAATGTGCTGTATAAATAAACTTGCCTTGCTGTGCCACGGGGGGATAAGAACTTCACCCTCTTCCAGTTTTCCCTTAAATTAAGGATAGATGTGTGTTCAGTTTGCTTGATTATTCATTTCGTCAAAATAGATGTACTCACAAAATTCATGCTTGAATACTTTATTTAAAAATGAAAGTATGCCTAGTCTTAGTCTACATAGAAGAGGAATATTTTTTATAATTTTTATTTTGTTTAACCACTTTGTTCAACAATTTACTGGATAAGTGGCTCCTGAGGTCATTTAAAGCTTTAGAGATAATGGATTCGTTTTTTTCTGCATATTCTTCTTTTGAACAGATGCGCATTAGATGCAAGCAAAAATCTCTGATCCATAAATGTTCTTACATATTTGTATCAGTCCTTGATATATTTCACTATAAATCAGTGTTGAATTAAAATAATTTAAAAAGAAAGTTTATTATTAGAATTTTTCCAATACCAATAATGTCTTAGTAAATATCTGTATGTTGATCTGAGAATCTGAGCGGAGGAGACAGGAGGCTTTGGGAATGACTGAAGATGAAGGTGATGATTTGAAAGGAGTTTACTGATGGGGGGCTGGTGGCAGGTTATTGCATTGGGAGGGGGATTTGCATTGGTTGGCAGATGACATACAGTTTACATAAGCACAAGCTGAGGATAATAGTGGAGCTGACAGGAGGAAGAAAAGCAAGACGGGCTCCCCTGTGACCTGGGGCCAAGTTCAAGTAACTCAACCAGTTCCATCTCATTCACAGATCCACTGGCAGCGAGAATGAGAAGCATGTCATTTCTCACAGCTTTTCTATTCATGTATTCATTCATTTTGTATTTGGCCGCCTGTGTGAGGCGTTGTCTCCCGTGGCAACCAAGACCCCGCCCTCCTTGTCTCCCTACGCCAGCATATGAAAGCCATCTGTGCTGACCCCTAATCTCTGCCGTTTACACCCACCATGCTGAGTCTGTGCGTCGTGTTTATCTTTTTGAACTGGGATTACTGGCTCTCATGATGGTCTGCGAAACAAAGGGAAAGACACAGTAAATTAGAGCATCAAATTGAGATGTTAGTGCTTCGATAATGGTGATCATGGCTTTTGTTGTGCTACAAACAACACAAAGGCTTGGTTGTGTCCCTTTCTTTGAATTAAACTGATAATAAATTATCACCATAATCTAGAATGAAGCATTAACAGCGGAGGAATTCTGAGTTCTAGTGTCTTATTAATTCAAATGCTAATTATTAATTAAAAGATGAAAAACTTAGAAGTTTTAATTTTATGATACAATAATTATTTTCCAGCAGTACTGGATGAATGGGAGGGTGGGGGATGGGCTACGTGTCAAGCTGTTTGCAAAGAGAAAATCTTTTCCAAGGCCTTTTTTGTATTAGTCAGCATACAATCTTTTGTTTTTGCTGTGCTTTGTTTATTCTGACTTGTACTTTTCTATATATGCATGTTTTTTAAAGATAAAGCCTATTTTACCCAATATGTTTTTTCAAGTTATTTTCTTTTTTACTTCAGAAGATGAATTCCAGATTATTTCTAGATAATTCTCCAACTTAGATCTCCAGAAAAACTCTTTACATTTTTAGGATTTCCATGCGGTTTTTCCTCACCAAACTCCCTCTATTTCTCAAATAAACATTAACTATACCAATGAGGTTGTCATAAGATTTTCAGTCTGTGAGCTCTTACAAAGGGTAGCAGGGATGTGCAGCAAAACAACTACCCATGGACAACTCATTCTCGAAGGAAATTTAAAGCAATCAATTAACTTAGCAATGCATGTTTTTTAACTGTGAAAGAAAACTGGGCTACCTAGAAAGAATCCATGCATGTATTCGGGACAATATACAAATCACCTTCTTGGTGCTCAATAACAGTGCTACTAGCTGCACCCCCATGCATTTTTGCCATTAAGAACCACAACGGAGCTCATTTTGGACACCTATATGAAATTCAATATAAAAAAAAAAAAAAAAAATCACGTTTCTTATGTTATGGCTACAGCATATCCAAAAAGTGCAGCTAGAATGAATATTCCCAGGGACCTATCTGTGCCAAGTGTGCAATGTTTAATTTTTATTGTGTTGGTAGGTTTAACCTTGGTCCAAATGTTTTAGTTGGTTGGGGAAACAGTTTCTCTATAATTTCTGCCTAATGATGGATTACATTCAAAAACATCCACACAGGTGTTTTGTAATTTATTTAAAACAAAGAGTTGACAGTGTAAAAAAACAGCACAATTGAATTATGGATCTGAATATAGCAGAATATGATCCAAACAATAAAAAAAGATTGATCAGCACTTAATATGCAAAGCATACAATAGGCAACGAGGTTACATTTGGCTTCCACACTGTTCACCTCATACAGATACTTCAGTTTGACATAAATATTCATTTCCAGAATTAATGTAAGATTTGCATTTAAAAAGGCAGATTTAGCACAGAGTGTTATTTACTTTACACCACGATTTCAACGTTAAAGGCTACGCATTAAAAAGGACAACTCTAAGAACAATAATCAAATAGTAAACTGGTACAGTCTTCATATTATTAGTGCATTAAGGCAGCTGCCCTTCACATTGACACTGTGACATAAACTTGTTAGAGAAAAAAACAAAACAGAAACGCTAACAGATTAGTGAGCAGAAAACAATATAGAGTTGAAGGTAGCCAGTGTTAATGCTCAATAGTGATAACAGAGACCTCCACAACAGTTATCTGACCGAGGGAATGTAACAGTAAAGGGAATGCATTAAACTAGTAGGTTTGTTGGGATTATTTGGTCGACTGCTCCCATTTTATTTTAAGTATTTTAAGTTTAAGTATTACACTACTATTATTTCCAGGTCTATTATTGCAACAGACCTGGAAAACTAGTAGTGAAAAACATAGGTGACGAGTATGGCAGGAATTGGCTTCCTTTTTGGTGGGAAACATTTAAATGAAATTACTTTTCATAATGCTAAGAAACACATTGTTTAAGGAATCTTCATTTTCATTTATAAATATTGTGTATATATATATATATATATATATATATATATATATATATATATATATATACACACACACACACACACACATACACCTTCAAAACCAGCAGGGTTGCTGGTGACCCGTTTTAAAGCGTTTACAACTATTAACTCAGAATACAGCAATATAGACATGTTAGCTTAGATTCAACCACTGGTGACCCGACAGAACCACGG